GATGAGAGAAAGAAAAAGCTGCTTTGAGCTTTTCGGGCCGCAGCTGCTTTAAGGAGCGCATGGAGCAGGAGCCGGCAGAAACCACAGCTGCGCCCTTCAGATGGAGTTACTTGGAGGCAGCAGGGGAGAAGAGGGAGAAGAAGGTGGCCCCTAGGACAGCAAGACCACTAATAGGGTTCACGTGGACCCACACAGAAGCGAGGAGCCAGAACAACTGAAAAAAGGGAGCCATTCAAAAGCTGTTGAGTCATCGCAAGGGACCGGCACATGGCCCGTCCCATGGGACGTGTTTGCAGCATGGGCGGTGGAGGAGACAGGCCCACCAGGGAAACACTGGGGCACAGCAAGGACAGCTGATCTGCCCCCCAGTCAGCACAGGACCACTCAGAGGAGACTGGTCAGGAATACAGAATTGCATGGGATGCAGTTTGATGAAAATACTGAGGCCCAGATCAGAGATTCTACACAACACAGATCCACTGGGTCTCTGAAAAGCTGGACGTGCCTATAAGGTCAACCATTAAACCCTGAGCTGCACAAAAAGCCTTCCCTAGGGAAACAGCAGCAAAGTAGCATTTCAAACAACCACATAGCTCAAGTACTGGTTCCCACAGGAAGTTCCTCAGTGTTAGAAGCAAAGGACAAAAAATTAGTTCCAGGTCAGGCACACCACCAGCACCTTGGGGCCTGCCTGGGAACTGGAGGTTGGATCTGCAGACCGGACCCCACTCCCACTTCCAGACAAACTACACCAGTGCATCGGGGCCAGCCTGGGGAACGAAAGCATGGAGAAGAGGACTGGACCCCCCCCCTCCCACAACCAGGCACACCAAGCCAGTGCCCCAGGGCCTGCCCATGGCCCCAGGGCATGGACAAGGGGACTGGACCACCCTCCCACAACCAGGTACACCACACCAGCACCTTGGGCCCCGCCCAGGGACCCAGGGCATGGAGAAGGTGACTGGACCATCCTCCCACAACCAGACACACTGAGCCAGTGCCTTGGGGCCCACCCACGGACCCAGGGTATGGAGTTGGGGACCGGACCACCCTCCCACAGCCAGGCACAGCATGCCAGCACCTCGGAGCCCACCCAGGGACCTGGGGCATGGTGATGGGGACCGGACCTCCCTCCCACAACCAGGCACAACATGCCAGCACCTTGGGGTCTGCCTGGGGACCCGAGGCAAGGAAAAGGGCAATGGACCCCTCTGCCACAACCAAGCAGACTGCACCTGTACCTCAGGGCCCACCCAGGGACCCAGAACATGGAGAATGGGACTGGACCCCTCCCACAACCAGGCACATGGCACCAGTGCCTTGGGCTCTGCCAAGGGACCAGAGGCATGGAGAAGGGGACCAGCCACACCCCACAACCAGGCATACCACCAGTGCCAAGGAGCATGCCAAAAACAGCACCCCCACATGGGTGGCCCACCACAGCCACCACAATAACCATAGTTGCTGCAAAAGCGGCTAGACGCCATGGCCACCACACAGATGGTCCGCCAGCCACTGGAATGCATTCTAACAAGAAGAGTCATCAGCAGAGACAAAGAAAAGAAGAGGCTGTCTCTTTCCACAAAACCCATTTCAGGGTGACAGAAGAAGCATCTGCTCTGTGATAATATTGGGGGACCTGATCACATCTCTCAGCATTGGAGAGATCATCTAGGCAACAAGTTAACAGAGTAACCATTATTCTTTCAGAAGGAGAGAAAAAATCTAGGGCAGTTGGGGCGGGAGGGGGGGAATGGGGGAAGGGGAAAGGTTGGACAAGGGGCATAAAGAATAATTACAATTTCTAACAATATATATGCTAGTAATACTGATTTAATCAACATATCTCAATGGAATGGGGGAAGGGGAAAGGTTGGACAAGGGGCATAAAGAATAATTACAATTTCTAACAATATATATGCTAGTAATACTGATTTAATCAACATATCTCAATGGAATGGGGGAAGGGGAAAGGTTGGACAAGGGGCATAAAGAATAATTACAATTTCTAACAATATATATGCTAGTAATACTGATTTAATCAACATATCTCAATGTTCAACCCCAAAAATATGTATAATTGATTTTGATTCAATAAATAAATTTTTTAAAAAAAGAATAATGGGTGTTCTTTGAAAGAGACTAAAGGACACCTAAGTAAGCGGAAAGACAGTCATGTCCATGGATCCTACAGCTTCCTGCTGTTAACGTGGTATCCTGCCTGAGTAGATCTACAGATTCAATATGACTCCTATCAAAACACCCAAATGGGTTTTTCCTCTCAGAAATTGACAAACTGATCCTAAAACTTATATGGAATTGCACGGGACCCTGAATATTCAAAATATTCCTGAATAGGAAGACTAAAGTAGGAGGACTCACATTTCCTGATTTCAGAACTACTACAAGGCAACAGTAATCAAGCCAGTGTGATCCTGCATAAGGACAGACAGACTGACCAATGGAATAGAGTTGAGAGTCCAGAAAAAAACCTTCACATTTATGGTCAATTGATTTTTGACAAGGGTTCCAGGGGAATTCAGTGGAAGGAAAATAGCCTTTTCCAAGTGGGTATCCGCATGCAACAGAATGAAGTTGGATCTCTACCTCGTACCATATACAGAAGTTAACTCAAAATGATCATGGACATAAATGAAAGGGTGAAACTGTAGAATGTTAGAAGAAAACATTGGAGTAAACCTTCATGCCCTTGGATTAGGCAATGGTTTCATAGATATGACACCAAAAGCACAAGCAACAAGAGAAAAGAATAGACAAATGGGACATCATCAAAATAAAAAAAACTAAGGACAACATCAAGGAAGCGAAAAGGAACCGCAGAATAGGAGGAAATATTTGCAAATCACATATTTGATAACAGGGTTGTAGTAGAATATATAAAGACTCAATAATGTGAAGACAGATAACCCAATTGTAAGGTAGACAAAGGATGTGAATAGACATTTCTCCAAAGAAGACATACAGATGTGCAACAAGCACATGAAAAGATGCTCAGCATCATTAGCCATCAGGGAAATGCAAATCAAAACCACAGTGGTTAGAGCGTGGTGTTATAACACCAAGGTCAAGGGTTTGGATCCTGAGCCAGCCAGCCACCAAAACAAACAAACATACTGCAGTGAAGCAGCACTTCACACCCCTTAGGATGGTTGAATAAAAAACAGACAGTAACAAATGTTGACAAGGACATGGAGAAATCAGAGCTGCATGCACTGGTGACGGGAATGTAAAATGGTGCAGCTGCTGTGGAGAAGTCTGGTGGTGCCTCAAGCAGTTAAACATGGAGTTAACAGGTAACACACATAACATATAACATAACCCAGATGTTCCATTCCTAGGCACATACCCAAGAGAAATAAAACGTGTTCAAACGAACAAAAAAAAAAAATTACATTCTTTCCCAGCAAAATATTTCACTATTTTTATTTACTCTTTGCTTTATTCATTCTTTGATCTGTGATAATAAGGAACGCCTGTATATAAGTTTTTCTTAATTCTCTAAACTGTTTTATATATTTATAATAAATAGTAACCAGATAACCACATTTTCCTATTGAGTGAGCATATGCCTAGAAAAGCTAATTTTATCCGAAAGTAAGTACATGCTTAAGAAAAACCTATAAGCAGAAATTATAATAGTTTTTTTCCTTATTTATTAGGTCTGTTAGTCCAATATAATAGGTACGACTTCTCTTTCTTCTGCAGTTCCTAAGGCCAAAGTTCTCACATTTTTCTCACTCCAATTTATGGATGACTGGTGACCATTAGTCTAGTGTATCTTTGCTTATCTGCTAACATGAGTTTTTAATTATGTGCTGTTTTTTGCTTTTAATTATCGTAGTTGTCATGAGTAAATCAGCCTCTGGGGCACTTGTGCTATATTTGCCTTTCTGTGATATCCTTGTACATTTTACTGTACACTTGAATCACCTGGGGATTTCGTTAAAATGCACACTCTGATTTAACAGGCATGAAGATAGCAGGGCCAAAATTCTGCATTTGGAACCGGCTTCCACAACTTTGCCAGTGCTGCTGACCTTCAGACCACACTTGAAATAGCAAGGCTTTAATAACGATTTTGGAAACAGAAGCCAGGCAAAGCCTATTGAAGCCATTTCTTGTTATGATAACTTTATGATATATGCCTAGTTTCTTAGTAATGTATATTTTTCCAATGGGGATATATGTATATTGAATTATGATTTGTAATATATGAGCTTTTCTATAATTTTTGTGTTGGGCATGTTATCTACAGTGGTAGTATTTATAAAGAATGGTGATATACCGATGATGATGTAATAGTTAACATTTATGGACTACTTAGTATGTCCCAGACACTGCTTCACAAAGGGTGACTAAATTTTCACAACAAAACTATGAAGTAGACATTATTATTGTTATCCCTATTTACAAAGTCACAAGTGTAGTGACTTGCCCTTGGTAACACAGTTAGAAGATGACAGAGTTAGGACATTCAGTCAGGTAGACCTACTCTGTAATCTCTTTACTGCTTTGACACCAGTCCAGAAACTGCAGACTTCATATAATGTGAAAACATTTTTTTCTTTTTCCAAATGGTAATGGTAATCTAGTGACAAGTGTGGAGACATACCTTTCACTCTGAGTTCTCCTGCCAAACCACCAAATGATCTTTGAGAAGCCAGGAGCCTCTCTGTCCAGCTTCTCAGCCCATCAGATATCAGCAGGATATGCAGTGCTCGAGTCTCTCTATCTTTATGTGAAGGAGAGATGAACATAGGGAAGGAGAGTTACTATTTCTAAGTGCACAGGCATTTGTACAAGTGTGCAAAAATGAATGGAAGTTGTTCAGGATTAGAAAAATGTGTCACTTCAGTCGCAGTTTAATTTGGAAATCAACAAACCTGGAATGGGTCATGATAAATAAGAATATAGGTAGCTTATTACTCATCCCAAAGTAATAGGGGGCTATTTGCTCTCATTATTTCTCTCTTTTACAGTCCATCAATATTTTGGAACTGACTTTACAGAAATATGGAAGTTATGAAAAATTTGAACAAGCCACTGGTGGTAGCTTGCTGTCTAAAACTCGAATCTGGAGTCACGTGAGGAAGTACATGCTGAAGGAAGGCTGCCTCGGGGAGGTAGGAAGCACGAGTGGCCGCGAGGAGCTGGCTGTGGCATTTGAACTCTCAGTCAGTGCCGTGTGGTTTTGTCCTGCACGTTTCATTTTCTCAAACCTATTTAACTCATTAAATTAGAAATCCAGAGTTTTCATTAAGTACTGTAAGTCTAAGTTCCTGATGCATTGAATTGTTTTGATGTGTTTAGGTTTTTTGTTTTGTTTTTCTTACTGCCATTTCTGTATAGCTGTGGGTTTCTATGAATTACTTTATGAATATTGTTAATGAAGAGAATTGCCCAGTGGCCTCTCTCGTTAGTAGTCCGTTCTTAGTAGTCAGTCTTAGAACCCTGGCACCAGCAGGAACAGGACTCTGGCTCCTATACATTCGTTTGCATCATTTTAGCCAGGGATTCTTTTGAGAAACTCCAGAAGTACAGTTGTAAGTCCTCTGTATCTTCCTCCGCACAGCCATCTGCTTTCTCTTCAACCCAGTAAAGGTTCTTGAGTTCCCAAAGGGGCAGAATTAGAAGGTTCAAAGGTAAATGGCTGTACATTCCATCTTGTCAGTTTCTGGGAGATTCAAGGTAGTTGTAAACAAAAACATAGTGTTAATTGGGGCCGAGCCCGTGGCGCACTTGGGAGAGTGTGGTGCTGGGAGCGCAGTAGCGCTCCCGCCGTGGGTTCGGATCCTATATGGGGATGACTGGTGCACTCACAGCACTCACTGGCTGAGCACGGTGCTGCTGGTCTCAAAAAGGACAAAAAAAAAAAAAAAAAATAGTGTTAATTTATGGACCCATTGTTTTCTGTGAAAACTTTTTTGTCCCTGTGCCTTTACATTTTGTTTTATATATACATATATAAAACACACATACATATATATATATATATATATGTATGTGTGTATGTATTTTTCCTCTTGCTCCTTAGATCGTAGTTCATTTAACTGAGGACCTGCTTTCCCGAGCTTCAATGACAGTAGTGAATGGATGTCCCACTCTGACCATCAATGTTGCCACTGCGCGGGAGCATTGGCTGGAGGGAATGCTGAGGCATGAAATAGGTAGGGGCAGCCCTTTTCCACTGGTTCATCTGCAATATCAGGAGTTAGCTCCAAAGAAATGTTATTTTTAGAATGGGTTTTTCTTAGTAGTATATTTGGCGAAAAGTCATGAGATTGTTAAGCTTCCCTTGGTCTAAAGCTAATATATTTACATCTCATTTCAAATTAATTTTTTTTTTTTTTAAAGATGACTGGTAAGGGGATCTTAGCCCTTGACTTGGTGTTATCAGCACCATGCTCACCCAGTGAGCTAACCGGCCATCCCTATATGAGATCCAAACCCATGGCCTTGGTGTTATCAGCACCACAGTCTCCCAAGTGAGCCATGGGCCAGCCCTTAAATTAGATTTTTTTTAGGGCACTGTTTAGCTGTGTTAAGCTTGGAAAGTCATTTAACTCCTCTAGATTTCAGTTACTCCTCCTTAAACTGAAGAGGTTGAATTAAGTGATCTCTAAGATTCTTTTCAAATATCAAGTCTATGATTCATCTCTTTAAAAAAAATAGTTTTGAAGGTTTTATCTCCTTTAATGAGACATGTGCTCCTTCTGAAGGCAGCATACTCCTTCAAATCCAGAACGTTTTAGGGTCAGGTATTTTTCTAGTTCATTTTGATCTGTAGGCTCATACTAATTTGGTTTTAGAATTATTGGTGGAATTTTCTTTTGCAGAAGAATTAAAACAAGAATGGCATTTCTTTTTATTTATATGCCTTTTTTTCCTCCATAGGCACACATTATTTTCGAGGTATTAACAACCTCCAGCAGCCATGGAACAGTTGGACTGGCCGTAAGAAACATGAGCTAAAGCCAAACAATCCCACAGAGGAAGGACTGGCAAGTATTCACAGTGTCCTGTTTAGAAAAGACCCCTTTTTATGGAGGGCTGCCCTCCTCTACTACACTGTTTATCGAGCCAGCCAATTGTCTTTTTGCGAACTCTTCAGAGATATTGGCAGGTTTGTCGAGGACCCCAATACAAGATGGGATTATTGTGTACGAGCCAAGAGGGGATGGACTGATACTTCCCAACCAGGTAGGTCTCTTGACTGTAAGCTTTCTGACTTATTGACTAGTTGTCTAGTGATTTTGGTTGTATCCTAATCTCTGAATTTACTCACCTATGAAAAATTAAACCTTTGTTACTTGAGGTCAGTGCTAGTTTTCCCAAACCACATTTTCTTAGAATTATTTTTGCCCAGCTCATTTTGAAAAATTTCAGACCAACAAAATATGGAAAGAATGGTAGAATGAACACCCGTATACTCTTCATTTAGATTTACCAATTATTAACATTTTGCCATTTTTGCTTTCTTTCTCTCTTTTAAAAAACAGCTTTATTGAGATATAATTCACATACATATAATTCATCCATTTAAAATGTCTAGTTCAGTGGTTTTTAGAATATTCACAGAGTTGTGCAACCATCACCACTGTGTAATTCCAGAATGTTTCCTCACCTCAAAAAGAAACTCGTACCCATTAGCAGTCATTCTCCACCCCTCCTCCCCAGCTCTAAGCAACCACTTTTAGTGGTTTTTACTTTTAGTCTCTGTAGATTTACCTTTTTTGGACATGTCATATGAATGGAATCATATAGTATGTGATCCCTTGTGGCTGGCTTCTTTTAATTAGCATGATGTTTTCAAGATTCATCCGTGTTGTAGGATGTATCAGTATTTCAGTCCTTTTTATTGTTGAATTAGTATTCCATTATATGCATATATCACATTTTATTTATCCATTTGCCAGTTGATGGGCATTCGGGTTGTTTCCTCATTTTGGCTGTCATGAATAAAGCTGCTGTGAGCATTTCTGTACAGGTCTTTGTGTGGATGTTTTCATTTCTCTTGGATGTACACCTAGCAGTGTAATTGTAGTCATATGGTAACTATATTTAACCTTTTGAGGAACTGCCAAAATGTTTTTCAAAGCGACTACATTTTTACATTCCTACCAGTGTGTGAGTGTTCCTATTTGTCTACATCCTCACTATTTTCATTTTTTAAATTATTATTATTATTATTGTTATAACCATCCCAGTGGTGCAAAGTGGCATCTCATTGTGGTTTTGATTTGCAGTTCCCTGATGGCTAATGATGTTAAGCATCTTTTCATGTGCTTATTGGCCATTATACAAATGTCTTATTTGGAGAATTGTCTGTTTTGATCCTTTGACCATTTTAAAATTTATTTTTCTTCTTATTGAGTTGTCAGAGTTCTTTATATATTCTAGATACAAGTCTCCCATCAGTTATATGATTTATAAATATTTTCTACCATCCTGTATGTTGTCTTCATTTTTGTAATGATGTTCTCTGACTTTTTAAAAGTAAATTTTAGACTTGACATTTCATTCCTAAAAACTTGAGCATGCATCTCTAAGAATTAGGACATTCTTCTATCTTATACAATATCATTACTACATTTAAGAAAGTGAACATTAATTCAGCAATATTAATAAATATGAGACTTCCCGTCAAGATGGCAGAATAGACAGTCCCCAGTGTCACTCTTTCCCACAAATCAACGAATTTACAACTATAAAAATGTAACATCAGGGCCGACCTGTGGCTCACTCGGGAGAGTGCAGTGCTGATAGCACCAGGGCCGCAGGTTCGGATCCCATATAGGGATGGCTGGTTCGCTCACTGGCTGAGCGTGGTGCTGACAACACCAAGTCAAGGGTTAAGATCCCCTTACCGGTCATCTTTTAAAAAAAAAAAAAAATGTAACATCAGTCAGGCTGGGGCCGTTGGAGCTCAGGTGAAGAGGAGGAGAGACCAATGGAACTCACGAAGGTGGGAGAAACCATGAAGAGAGAAAGAAAAACCTGCTCTCAGCATTTTGGGCTGCGGCCACTTTAATGCTGGAGCGCGTGAAGCAGGAGCCGGCAGAAGCCGCAGCCATGCCCTTTATCAGCACCGCACTCTCCCAAGTGAGCCACGGGCCGGCCCAGCCATGCCCTTTAGATCGAATTACTTGGAAGTGGAAGGGGAGAAGAGGACTTTGATGGCCCCCAGGAAAGCAAGACCACTAACAGGGTTCCAATGGACCCACGCAGGAACAAGGAGCCAGAACAGCTGAAAAAGGGGAGCCACTCAGAGGCCGGTGCATCATCACAAGGGACCAGCGCAGGGCCTGTCCTATGGGAAGTGTTTGGAGCATGGGCGGTGAGGGAGATGGGCCCACCGGGGGAACACTGGGAACACAGCAAGGACAGGCAATCCGCCCCCCAATCAGGTCAGGAATGCAGAATTGCATGGGATACAGTTTGATGAAAAAACTCAGACCCAGATCAGAGTTTCTACACAACCCAGGTACACCAGATCTCTGGAGAGCTGGAAGTACCTATAAGGTCAACTATTAAACCCTGAGCTGCACAAAAAGCCTTTCCTAGGGAAACAGCAGCAAAACCAATTTAGTTCAACCACAGAGCTCAAGTACTGTTTCCCACAGGAAGTTCCCCTACTTTAGAAGCAAGCAAAGGACAAAAACTTAGTTCTGGCCCAGGCACACCATGAATGCCTTGGGGCCCACCAGGGCAATTTACCTCAACCACACAGCTCAAGTACTGGTTCCCACAGGAAGTTTCCCTGTTTTAGAACTAAGCAAAGGACAAAGACTTAGTTCTGGCCCAGGCACACCATGTATGCCTTGGGGCTCACCAGGGGACATGAGGCATGCAGCCAGGGGTAGGACCCCTGCCTACAGCCACTCACACCACCAGCACCTTGGGGCCCCACCCAGGAACCCAAGGACTGGACCCCACTCCCACATACAGGCATACCACCAGTGCCTAGGGGCCCACCTGGGGACCTGGGGCTAGCAGCCAGAGACTGGACCTTCTTCCCACAACTAGGCACACCACTCCAGCACCTCAGGGCTCACCAGGGATCCGAGGCATGGAGAATGGGACCGGACCCCCCTCCCACAACCAGGCACACCATGTCAGTGCCTCAGGGCCCACCCAGGGACCCAGGGCATGGAGAAGGGGACCGAACCCCTCTCCCACAGCCAGCCTCACCACACCAGCGCATTGGGGCCTGCCCAGGGACCCAGGATAAGGAGTTGGGACTGGACCCACCCTCCCACAATGAGGCATGCTGGGACAGCACATCAGGGCCTGCCCAGGGGCCCGAGGCATAGAGAAGGGAACCAAACCTCCCTCCCACAACCAGCCACCCCATGCGAGTGCCTCGGGGCCTTCCCGGGCCGATAAGGAGTTGGGACTGGACTCACCCTCCCACAATGAGGCATGCTGGGACAGTGCAGCAGGGCCCATATGAAGCCAGGGATCAGACACTCTCCACAACCAGGCACACTGCCAGCACCACGGAGCAGGCCAAAATCATCTCCTCCATGTGGGTGGCCCACCACAGCCACCACGATAACCATGGCTGCCGTGAAGGTGGCTAGACACCACAACCACCACGCAGATGGTCACCAACCACTGGAGTGAGTTGACATAAGGAGAGTCACCAGCAGAGATAAAGGAGGAGGATGTCTGTCTCCACAGAGACCATTTCATAGTGACAGAAGAGACATCTGCTCTATGATAGTATTGGGGGACCTGCTCATGCCTCTCAGCATTGGACAGATCATTTGGGCAGCAAATCAACAGAGTAACCATTATTCTTTCAGAAGGAGACAAGAAATCTAGCGTAATTACAGGGGGGAGGGGGAGAAAAAGGAGGATGGGGCAGGATTGGATAAGCTGCTTGTGAACATAAACACACACTGTGATTGCACTCTTTCCCTCTATTTTCTTTAGACAAATAATAAATCAAAGAGTGCTAGACATTCCCAATGAAACAACAGATTCAGGAAAGATCACTGATGGACGCTAAAACCATTAGATAAAACTCTGTTTGGGAGCAGGATATTCACAGTCTTTGTCACCTCACAGATCACTTATTATTTACAAAGAGGAAAAGGAAGATGTACCTTTAGAAAGGAAAGAGTTCATAATCATCACCTTAAATGAGGATCATACTTGGCATTTCTAATGGTGAGACAATCTATCATTAGGTGGCTCTTGATGTGACCCAACATACTTATGTAGTATTCTTGCCAAAGACATTTTCCCTGAATCTAATCCTGAGCAAACAATCAAACACATACAGATTGTGAGCCATTCTATAAGAACACTGGCCTGGACTTCAAAAAAAAAAAAAAAAGACACTATCATAACAAACAGAAAAGCTGGGTACAATTGCTCCATATTTAAAAAAAGCTAAAAAGACATAACCATCAAAAGTAATTTGTGAACCCTAATTGGAACTGGATATTTAAAAAAAAAACAGCTATAAAGAACATTTTTTGGAACAGTTGGAGAAATTTAAATATGGTGTGTATACGAGGGTACTTCAAAAAGTTTGTGGAATCATATTATCTTTTAATCCCAGTTTTCCACAAACTTTTTGAAGTACCCTCGTATACACACCATATTTAAATTTCTCCAACTGTTCCAAAAAATGTTCTTTATAGCTGTTTTTTTTTTAAATATCCAGTTCCAATTAGGGTTCACAAATTACTTTTGATGGTTATGTCTTTTTAGCTTTTTTTAAATATGGAGCAATTGTACCCAGCTTTTCTGTTTGTTATGATAGTGTCTTTTTTTTTTTTTTTTGAAGTCCAGGCCAGTGTTCTTATAGAATGGCTCACAATCTGTATGTGTTTGATTGTTTGCTCAGGATTAGATTCAGGGAAAATGTCTTTGGCAAGAATACTACATAAGTATGTTGGGTCACATCAAGAGCCACCTAATGATAGATTGTCTCACCATTAGAAATGCCAAGTATGATCCTCATTTAAGGTGATGATTATGAACTCTTTCCTTTCTAAAGGTACATCTTCCTTTTCCTCTTTGTAAATAATAAGTGATCTGTGAGGTGACAAAGACTGTGAATATCCTGCTCCCAAACAGAGTTTTATCTAATGGTTTTAGCGTCCATCAGTGATCTTTCCTGAATCTGTTGTTTCATTGGGAATGTCTAGCACTCTTTGATTTATTATTTGTCTAAAGAAAATAGAGGGAAAGAGTGCAATCACAGTGTGTGTTTATGTTCACAAGCAGTTCTAGTTCTCAGTAAGTATGCTGCTCTAATAGAAAGTTAAAAAATTTTGTCAGTAGCCTTAAGACTTCAGATTGCCCACAAAATATTTAGGGTTTTTTTGTTTTTAATAAGATAAGAAGCAAAGTATATGGCAATACAAAAATGCCTTTGAAAAAGGGATAAGAATTTGGAAACATTGGTTTAAAAGTTATTTAGACTTTCAGAGTAGTTTAATATATCAACAAATGTTCTTCTAAAAGTATTTTTAAGCTATTTATTTGGAGCTTGGAAATACTCAAGTCAGTGGCAGTTGTTGCCAGCCCAGCCCACATTAACGTTTTGTAGCAATGATGTAGTTGTATGACTGTGGTGCCTGAGAGCCAGGACCAGGCAAGAGAGGAAACAGGAAAGAGGAGGACACCTGCCTGTAACTACCTCCAGGCTGAGTATTCGATAAACAGCGTGTCTGCCATTTCCAGTCTAGATTCCCTTGCCGGTATTTTAGTGCTCTGTACCAAGATGCACGGGGCTTTCATGTTGCCCTTGACACCGCATGGAGGCACATCACTTTTAGAGTGGTTGGTTCCCCCCCCCTTTTTGTTTTTGGGTTTTTTAAACTTTTTTTTGTTTTGTTTGGCGGCTGGCTGGTACAGGGATCAAAAACTTGGTGTTATCAGCACCATCTCTAACTAACAGCTAACCGGCCAACCCTTTTTTTAAAACTTTTTACTATGGGAAATCTCAAATATATACAAAAGGAGAATGATTGATATGCTGAACCCTCATTAATACATTATCTGATCTTAGTAATTATCAACATTTTCTTTTTTTTTATTTTGACGGCTGGCCAGTATGGGGACCCGAACCCTTGACCTTGGTGTTACAACACTGTGACCAACTGAGCTAACCAGCCAGCCATAATTATCAACATTTTCTAATGTGGTTCATCTGTTCTTCCAAGTTCCTGTTTTTCTACGGTATTTCAAAGCCAATTCCAACATCATGTCTTTTACCTATAAATATTTCAGTATGCATCTCAACTGATTAGGACAACTTTTTTTTGTAATCCCCATGCTATTAGCATGCCTAACACAATTAACAATAATTCCTTAATGTATCAAGATGGAAAAAAAGGTTTTCTTTGTAAATAGAACATCCTTTCCTAACAAGGCTCAGATCTCGTGAGTTGTTCCTACTTTTCATGTCGTCGTCTTGCATGGTTTTTTTTTTTTTTTTTTTTTTTTTTTTTTTTTGTATTTCCAAACCTGCCTATTCTTTAAAATCTAGTTCTGATTTTTGTTTTCATAGGAAGGAATAGTATCAGAATCACCTAGAGTGTTTTTAAAACATAGTCTTTTTCGGGCCGAGCCCGTGGCGCACTCGGGAGAGTGCGGCGCTGGGAGCGCAGGAGCACTCCCGCCGCGGGTTTGGATCCTATATAGGGATGACCGGTGCGCTCCCAGTGCTCACTGGCTGAGCGTGGTGCGGCCGGTCTCAAAAAGGACAAAAAAAAAAAAAAACATAGTCTTTTTTTAAGGAGGGAAGGGGCATTACCAGTCCTTTTTTAATAATGGGATGGGGGATGTTATTTTAATAATGGGGAGGGGAACTGGGGGCAGGGAATTCTTAAACCGAAGCTACTCATCTGTATACTGTGCTGGTACCTTCCCCAAGACCTTACATTTTATGTTATGAAGATAATTAAATAAAAATACATGCTGGCAAATTAGAGGTTTTTTTTTAAATACAGGACTGATTTCTACAGTAAAAAAGAATGGGTTAGTATCTGATCACATCAGAAAGTAAACACTGTTCTGTTTCCTCTAGGGTGTTTCAGTAAAGACCAGGTATACTTGGATGGAATCCTTCAAATCCTCCGATACAGAGAGACCATAGACTTTCATCTGCTGATCGCTCTGGGGAAGGTGAGTAAAAACAGTGACACAGAGTCCCCAAACACACTAGGTCACCATTTCCTGCAGCTTGATTTTATGATGAAGTAAGACTCAAGTTCAAACTATTTTTACTTTATTGTTGGAATAAGTTCTCTTTATGTGATATTGGGAGGGAAGAAATATGGTTCTGTCATAGAACCAAATGGCAAAATTTCCCAAATTGTTTCCAAAATGTCCTTTGTAGCTTTTTTTTTGTGTGTGTGTGGTCTGGGATCCCATCACAATTTATGCATTGCATTTGGTTATAATATTTCATCTCATTTAATCTAGAACAGTCCCCCTCACTCCATTCTTTTTGTTTCCATGACATTTTTGAGAGTCCAGGGCAGTTTTCTTGAGAATTCCTGCCATCTGGATTATTGGATTATTTCCTCATGATAAGATTCAGGTTAAACATTTTTGGCAAGAATACTACAGGAGTGATGTTGTGTATTTCCCACTGTATCACATTAGAAAACACATGCCATTGTGCCCCATTATTGCGGGTGCTCTGTTCAATCACTGGGGTGAGTTAGTATCTACCAGTTCTCACCATTGTAAATGTATCTTTCCCCCACTACGTTAATAAGTAATCTGTAGGGAGATACCTGTGAATGGACTGTTCCCTGACAACCTTTTGAGGAATGGTTTTTTACATCCACTGAGGATTCTTGCCCAAATCAATTATTACACTGGTGGTATAATAAAATAGGGATCTTCTAATTTGGTTACGTTTCTTCTTTTACTTCCCTTTTCTATAGTATTATTATGGACTTATTCTTTTTGATTCAATGTTTTCATGGCTGATCCTATGTTTCTTAAATATGTCTCAACGTTTTCTGGCAAAGTAAAATGTTCTGGGCTCATCTTGTACTTTTCCAACCCAAATCCGAGATTAGCCATTTCTTCTGTGAAGACTTGATTAGTTTTAGTGAGAAATGGTATTTAGAGCACAAGATCTAAAAAAAAAAAAACCAAAAAAAGAAAACAAGATCTGAGCACCAAGTATGCACCTTGCTACTGTGGTACTCTTGCTTCTAGACCTTTTCAATGAGCAAATCATATACAACAGTCCCTCGGTATCTGTGGGGGATAGTCCCTTATATAAAATAGTGTAGTATTTGCATATAACCTATGCACATCCTTCCATGTACTTTAAATAATTTCTATATTACTTACAATACCTAATACAATGTAAATGCTATATAAATAGTTGTTATACTGTATTGTTTAGGGAATAATGATAAGGAAAAAAAATCTGTGCATGTTCAGTACAGACACAATTTGTTTTTGAAAAATATTTTCGGTCTGCAGTTGGTTGAATCCACAGACAAGGAACCCATGGATATGGGTTATTTTAAATCATAAGAGCATTCCAATTCAAATCAGACCCTAAGGATTTTTTCACACCTCCACTCCCATTCCATGTTTATATCTCCCGTCTCTTAAAATGAGAACCTGTTTCCCAATATCAGTATATTTACTTATTCTCTCCTATAATAAACTCAGAATGGTTTAAGAATTACTGAGCCATAACAGTATCAACAAACCTATTTTCATTAAATTTAGTGGTGTAAATACTAAAGTAATTTAAATAATAATAAAAACTAAAACTTAGTAAAATAAAGATGTAATATGAGTATGATTTCTTTTTTTTTTTTTTTCCTTTTTGTCTTTTTTACTGGCCGGTAACGGGATCGCAACCCTCAGTGTCACGCCCGCGCCACGCTCAGCCAGTGAGCGGGAACCGGTCACCACATGGGATCCGAACCCTCAGCGGGAGCACCGCCGTGCTCCCAAGCGGTGCACTCTCCAGTGCGCCACCAGGCCGGCCCTATGAGTATGATTTCTTAAAGCCTTCCTACTGAACCTGAAAGAGTATTGATCAGAAGACAATAGTATTTTATTTAGTTTCTTTATTTTTTTCTTTTATTGTGGCATTGTATTGTTGTTGTTGTTGTTGTTTTGTAGCTGGCCAGTGTGGGTATTTGGACCCTTGACCAACTGAGCTAAGTGGCCAACCCAGCAATACTATTTTAAACAGTCAACTATGTTTTGGAACTTAAAGATGAAGTTTCTCTGTTTTAGAAGTAAGCAAAGGACAAAAAATTAGTTTTGGCCCAGGAACACCACCAGCGCCTTGGAGCCCACCAGGGGACATGAGGCATGAAGTCGGGGACCACACCCCCCTTCCACAACCAGGCACATTGCACCAGCACCTTGGGTCCTTCCTGGGGACCTGAGGCATGGATCTGAGGACTGGACCCCCCCACACACAACCAGGCACACCACGCCAGCACCTCGGGGCCCACCTGGGGACCCAAGGCATGGAGAAGGGGACCGGACCCCCCTCCCACAACCAGGCACACTACACCAGTGCCTCGGGGCCTGCCCAGTGACCCAAGGTCTGGAGCTGGGGACCAGACCCCTGACCCACAACCAGGCACACTGAGCCAGTGCCTCAGGGCCCACTCGGGGACCCGAGGCTTGGAGCCAGGGACCAGATGCTCCTGCCAACCAGGCACACTGCCAGCACCAAGGAGCGTGCCAAAAACATCACCTCCATGTTGATGGCCCACCACAGCCCACAATAACCATGGCTGCTGTGAAAGTGGCTAGACACCACAACCACCACACAGATGGCCCACCAACCACTGGAGTGCATTGACACAAGGAGAGTCACCAGCAGAGATAAAGAAAAGAAGAGGATGTCTCTCTCCACAAAGCCCATTTCAGAGTGACAGAAGAAGCATCTGCAATATGATAATATTGGGGGAACTGGTCACACCTCTCAGCCTTGGACAGATCATCTAGGCAACAAATCAACAGAGTAACCATTATTCTTTCAGAAGGAGAGAAAAAAATCTAGGGTAATTTGCATGGGAGGGGGAAGGAAAGGGGATGGGGAGAGATTGGACAAGGGGCATAAAGAATAATTATGATTTGTAACAATATATATGCTAGTAATATTGATTTGATCAACATTTCTCAATGTTTAACCCCAAAATATGAATAATCAATTTTGATTCAGTAAATTTTTTTTAATTAAATAAATAAATAAATAAAATATTAAAAAAAAAAAAAAAAAAGATGCAAAGATAATTTATAGAACTTAAAAAGTTTCACCCCTAAACCTAGTATAAATGCTTGTGAAGGACTGACTTCTTATATGGTAGAATGAAAGAGATGTGAAATTTTTAATAATACTTACAAAAATTCAAAATAAAAGCAAAGAATATAACACAAATCACAAATTATTCTTTCCCAAGTTAAATAGAAATAGGAGTCCAATATATAATTATGCTAATTTTCTTATTTTATAATATGGTGTTTCTAGCTATATTCTTGATTTTTTCAAATTTAGATTTAGTCAGAAGATTTGCTTGGGTGTAGAATCTCTCTCACAAATATATATATTAAGTTTAGTTGTCTTCTTTTTAGACAAACTGAGTAGATTCAAGATAGAGTGTTAAATCAAATGCTAACTTTCGATCTTCTTTTTAATATGGTCATGGTATGATGGAGGCAGACAAATAATTCTTATTTAACAAAGTAAAGAAAAGTAAGCCACTGAGTTTTGTTATTTTGCAGCTATTAAAGTAATTTGACAAGTGATCTCTGTAGAGTTATGTGCTGCATAACCATGTTTCGGTGAAGGACAGACTGCATATACGGGGGTGATCCCAGAAGGTTATAATGGTTACTCCATATAGCCTCGGTGTGTAGCAAGCTATATTATCTAGATTTGTGTGAGTACCCTCTGTGATGATCGTACAGCAGTGAAATCGCCTAAGAACGCATTCCTTAGAATGTATCCTTGTCATTAGGTAATGCATGATAGTACTTTCATTTAAGACCCAGGGAAGAAATTCATATTCAAAATGTAATTTGTAGTTACATTTTAAAATGCACCCATCTTCCTTTTTTCAGGTTTCTTACGAAGATGTGGATCGCTTAAAAGGATTGGCAGTTATTGAAAACATGAGGGTCCCTCACTTCCTGCAGGACCATGGCCGGTATATGGAACACTTAGAGAAGATCATGGAAGTGAATGAACTGACCGACAGGGAACTGAAAGATCTTATATAGTAATTAGCATTTTTGTAAAAGAAGCTAAGCTATTTCTCCTTGTATATTACCAGTTAGGTGCAGTTGGCACCAGCAGATTTATAAAAGAAGAATGATTGTGTACTTCAGTTTTCTGAAGAATGGTCTTCAATATTCAGCTGAATTTTTAGGTTAAGTACAAACCTTAAACTATTTCTTTAAAATGTTTCTATACCCTGCAGGGGGAAGTTACTTCTTTTGTTATTCGAAAGAGTCAGTTGAAAATGCTACTGATGAACGTTTTTGAAGACTCTTGGTCGAGTTGAGTGATAAACTCCTGCCTGGGCAGTGAGCACTGACCTAGTGCTTCTGCCAGAGCTCCGAGGCCAGCTCCACCTGGAGACTGGCTGAGTTCCAAATGGTGTTAGTCAAACTTCAAGGTTATATTTTATTTGATAAATAATGGTAATTATTCTCCTTTGAAGAATTAGTCTTGTGATGCTCCAAAAAGCTAGCTGTATATCTAAGATTTCTTATTTCTCTTATATGTTAGGTAATGTTAAAAGGAGGGGGAAAGCAATTTGAAAAGTTTTTATTAAATCCTTTATTTTACACATTATTGTTTCACCATCTCAGCTTATAAGAAATACATTAGAGCATTACCTCATTTTGTCCAGTTATCTCTTAACTAAACTCTATTTTTGTTTGCTGAAACATATTGTACCCCTTTAAATTTTTAAGGAAGTTTTAAGGTCTTTCCCTCTGCATTCCATATATAAATGATAAGTACAAGTTCTAGAGAAGTTTGTCTCTGCAAATCAAAATAGTTAGGGAAAATGGGAGCTACTAATCTTTTGATTAAATGAAATGTGTAATGAGCAGGGGACAAAGAGACTGACCTAGTTAATGTAGGAGCTGGATGTTGACTGAGTAGCACCTACAGTAAACTTGACCATGCCCTGAAAGATGAAATTCCTGGACGTTGCTATTTGATAAGCCAGCCTCGTGATATTGGCTCAGTGTATTTTATCAAAATCTTTGACTTCATCAACCCAATAATGTCATAGTTTGAATTTTAAAAATGTGAGTTCTGTTTTGCTATGTTTCTTGTGCTATAAGCTTTTACACTTAGCTTTGTAATTTGTCAGTTTCAGTATATACTTGGATATGTACTCGGGATGAAATGGTTTTTATAACTTTTTTTTTTTTTTTTTTTTTATAAAGATGACCGGTAAGGGGATCTTAACCCTTGGCTTGGTGTTGTCAGCACCATGCTCAGCCAGTGAGCAAACCGGCCATCCCTATATGGGATCCGAACCCAGGGCCTTGGTGTTATCAGCACCGCACTCTCCCGAGTGAGCCACGGGCCGGCCCCTTTATAACTTATTTTAATGATCAGAAAGTACGCTGCTGTAAGCACCCCATCCAAGATTGCTACTGTAATTTCTACCTAAAGCTATCTGAGAGTTTATCTTTACCTTAGTTAGGTTAAACTATGGTGCTAACAATGGTAACTATATATACTGCAAGTCTGGTCCACATTCAAGCTAGAATGATTTTAGGAAATCTTTTGCAGGCTAGGTTATGTGATTTTTCTCTTTCACATATCTATAAGGGCTTGCTTCAGAGAAGAATGTTGCAGCAAATAGGATATACTCTAGCTGGTGCCTGGGGGTTCTTGCAAAGCCATGCATCTTGTCTTTGGTAGTAGAGGGCTAAGCCCCTTGGAGCATTGAAAGGCCCCCCCACAGGTGCCATGCTGGCTGGCATATGTCCTGCACATCTGTGTGCCAGGCTGGGGGCAGAGTGGGCCGGCACTAACCAGACACTGGGATCTATTCTTGACACCTCAAGCACGTATCTTCTTATAGCAGAGTCCTGCACTTTCAGCTTCGTGTGGTGTTTTCTGACTTCATCCTATAACTCTTCAAAGGTGATTGTTGAAACAGTGTCTTAGAAGTGTAGACAGAAATGGCAGTATTTATGTCCTGTGACTTAAGCCTTTGGGCTTGTAAATTCAACATTTGCAGGCAATAATACTGCTAATCTTACATTATGGTTTAAATATAAAGGAAAATCACAGTAGCCTTGCTTCCCTATTGGTAGGATTATTTGCAGTGGTTTTAGTTCCTGAATTTTAAAATAGGTAGATATTCTCTTTTTGTCTGATTTGGAAAAGGAACCTCTTTCTTGCCTTATTGCTTTGATATGAAGACAAAAAACATGAGCATTCTGCAGACTAAAATGACCTTAAATCACATTGATTGTCTTAAAGTATTCTAAAAGTTAGCAGTGAACCAAAAGAAGTTTCAGATTAGCAGAAAAACTTAAAGAGCTCTAAGCTTTGGAAGTTGGGATTGAAGATTTAATGAATGTTTATTAATTCTCTTTTTTGAAATAGCAGTAAGGTCAGTTTTGTTCCCTAAAATAAAAGTTTTAATAAACAGAAAATTATAGCAACAATACTTAGGAAGATTGAAGATTGTGTTAATTTTAATTATAGTAGTTTTTTGCTATAACCTATTGATGATTTCATCAGTTTTGTCCAATAGAATTGTAATATCTCATACAAATTCTGATGAACTGTTAGGTTTTAACATCAGACAGGATTCAAAGTAAAATTATTTGCAAACATAAATACATAGCCTTCATTTCTTTATATTTTTGCCTTTGTAAATGTGTTTAAAATTTGTATTTTTTTGTATATTTTTGGGTATTTTATGTCTAGCTATAATAGCAATAAATAGCACCGAGGTTCTCAAATGAAATATGTGGATATATATGCATGTAAACTTCTGTTCTTTGAAAATGTAATTATATTTTTATTGTGGTGGTTCTCTTTTAGTGAGTGGTAATTATTGCAAGGACATTGGTCATGCTTGTCTTCCAGTGTCCTCACTTACATGTTTGCCACACTTCACCTTTCCCCTAATTATTTCAGCTTATATTCTCATGGGCCCTAGGGAGAAGGGAAAAGGAAAGAGGGACAATTTTGTCTTAAGCTACTACCCTATTCATTTAGTAAACTTTTGTGCGGAACCTGTTGAGGAGCAGGAGCTGTGCTGAATGCCGGAGATCCTCTGAAGAAGACAAGACAGTTCAGTGAGGAAGAGAGGCCCTGAAGCAGGTTACCCATACCCATCAAGTACTGCCAGAAGAACGCATAGTGTAGTCAGCGGGCCTGCCCAGGTGTTTGAAGGAGAGAGAGAAAGATCATTTGCAGAGTGGTGATTGTTCACAGGATTTTATTACTGCTCTTTGCAAGACTTGTGTTTGGAGCATGAGCAGCTTTAGCCCAGGGGAAAGAGTGGACCACAAATGCAGCTGTTTGGGTCCACAAAGGCCTGGGGGAGAGCCCCAAGGCCTCCAGCAGATGCCCGAAGGAGCCAACACTTTATTCTTAAGAAGATGAGCATTGAGCAGGGACCCAAAGGAGAGTGCAGGGCCCATCAAGGGCAAGTAACTAGTCTTTGATTTTGAACCTTTATCTGTGCTTGTGAAAGCCTTGTCAGCTGGCTATGGTTTTTATCCAGTTTCTTTCACTGCAATTCCAATAGCTAAAGGAATTAATGCCTTGAAACTGATGGCCAGGATGTAAAACACCAAGCCGTGCAAGAGCTTTAAGAGTAGGTAGAATTTCAGTGGCCAGTAGTTACAAGAGATTTTAGAGCTCTGGAGATTTTTTTTCCCCCAACATGGGGATGGATAAACCTGAAAAAATCCTGCCACCATAAATACCAAAGTTCTTAATAGCAGCAAATATGTAAATGACCTAAGGTGTAACTATCACAAATTTAGATAAACCAGATATTTGGTTTTCTTGCCATTTAAAACTATACCTCTATCATATTTAGAGTACTTTCTAGTTAATTATTGTATATCTCTAAAAGAATTAAGTAGCTTGGATCCTGCAGGTAAACTGACCTTCCTAGATCTAGGAAGACTAATTATTTTTGTCACTGGTTTGTGTTGGAAATCTAATTCTCTACGGTGAATTATTTGGAATGCTTCAGCCAGCAATTAGATCTTGACAAGCAGTGAACAGCCTGAGGGAGTGTGAGGCAGTCTGAGTACCAGCCAGAGTTCGGGTGATTTCCGAGTGCCCCTCTACCGCTCGCCGCCAGGGGGACCTCTAGCTTCTTTCTTTTTTCCTGCTCTTCCCTCTCTTCTCCCTTCCACTGTTTTGCGGTGTTTTTAAGGCATTTTTTCATTTTTATTTCTAGCAGTTTACAGTTTCATTCTTTTACACTTAAATTTTTGATAAATGTAGAGTTTATCATAATGTAGAGGTAAGGATCCAACTCTTTTAAAAATTTTATTTCCATTTTTATTTTTAATTTTAATTTTTTTCAAAATATTTTAACATTTGCTTGTACGTATGTGTGGGGTACAGTATGTTGTTTCAATACATGCATATACTAGGGCCGGCCCGTGGCTCACTTGGGAGAGCTTGGTGCTGACAGCACCAAGTCAAGGGTTAAGATCCCCTTACCGGTCATCTTTAAAACAAACAAACAAAAAAACAAAAAAACATGCATAATACTGCACAATGAGTCACTTAGGGTAGATAGCATAGTTTTGTACCCATTTCTTTTGCTGGAGGACCTCTGGATGTTTAATCTTGCTGATTGACCCTTGAAACTAAATCCCAATCTAAGCTGATTTCAGGCAAGCGTAACTGATGTAGGAAAGATTTGTATATCCCTTCAAAGAATTGAGAAGAAGGAGTTACTGAAGTCTTTCGCGGGCCTGTTCCAAACTCTATTTCCTCTGTGCAGTATAAATTGCACACTGACAAGTTTGTTATAAAATTCCTTGAGGTGATTTGGACTGAAAAGCAATATACATACTCTGTATACTTGTATTTATAGTCTTGAGAAATATCTTCAATAACATTTCAGTGTGTCCATTTGAAACAATATGTGAATACCAGCAAGTTGAAATTCTGGTCCTACTTTATTTAACCCACATAAACACTTTAGACACCTCTCAGTGAAACCAGTTTTTTCCTCTTAGAGAAATGGGAGAGAAGGAGATACTGGGGAAAGTAACCAAATCCTGTGGCCAGAAAGATTTCTTAGCTCAACAACTAACAATGTCCCACAAACTAAGATCCCCATTGTTTCTAGATTACAGGCAAGGCGAGGGAATTCAGTATCTAATCTTAAACCCCACTTTGCTTAGATACACAGCAGCTTGCTGGCTTTTGCCAGAAACAAGATACCTAGTAACAATGCAGCCTTCAGACCCTTGGAGCCTCTGGACTGTCTTCAAATAAAATAGTGGACTCTGCAGAGGCCTAGCTCCCTCTCACCCCACCCACCTTCTCCCAGGTAAACGGACCTCCTGCAAACTGGGATTCCTTCCCAGGGCTATTACGCAAACCTCTGAGGTGTTTAAGGGTTAGATGTGGCTGGATTTGTCTGGGAGAATTCTAGGCTTTGAGAACACAAATATTATGTTGAGGATAAGAATTGAGGCCCT